GGCAGTTCCCCGTTTCGGAACCCCAATAAAACAGCAGCCGGGAGGATCATGTGGGACACCATCGAGCCCACTGCGGAGTGGCTGGAAAGGCCCTTCGGGGGGTTCGAGGCTTCCGGTTCGAGGGTTTCTTTAGGGTTTAGGGTTTAGGGTTTAGGATTTAGGGTTTAGGGTTTAGGGTTTAGGTTTTAGGGCTTCGGATTCAGGGCTTAGGGTTGAGGGGTCGAGTGTTTGGGGCCTTGGGTTTAATTCGAGTGTCTCTCTCAGGCCAAATCAGCCCCCTGCCGAGTTCCAAGAGACCCCCTAGGGCGACTCTTTGAGCCCTTGTAAACCACTTGCCACCCCCACCCCAGCATGGCAGATTCTACCCCCCCCCTCAACCCTCAACCCTAAACCCTAAACCCTAAACCCTAAACCCTAAACCAACAGTGGCCTGACAAGGACGTGATTGTAGTAGAAAGACGGGGGGGGGGGTGCAGACATGACATCTTTATATCCGGAAGATGGGATGGATGAAGCTTGCCTATGTGCATGGAAGGCCACAGAACTTCTTCACCTACCCTACCCCGGGTTTTGAGGGTTGGGTGTAGAGCTGCGGTGTAGGGCATAGAGTTATAGGGTGGTAGGGTTACGGGGTCATAGGGCTATAAGATTACAGAGTTATACGGTTATAGGGTTATAGCCTTTAGGTATAGGTTCTAGGTGACCCTAGCACCCCTGAAAGCACCAACGTCTTCAAGAAACCTGCCGGCATCCTTTCCTAAGCCCGTCTACCCTGCCAGACCCTACAGAACCCTGCTACACCCTGCTTAGCCCTACTAAGCCCTCAACCCTACGAAGCCACATCACCCTAAATCCTGGACCCGAGCCCCTAAACCCCAAACCCCTAAACCCCAAACCCTAAACCCTAAACCCTAAACCCTAAACCCTAAACCCTAAACCCTAAACCCTAAACCCTAAACCCTAAACCCTAAACCCTAAACCCTAAACCCCACGCCTCAAACCCCAAATCACCTCCACCTGGGTTTTGGAAGGCAAGTTCCCCCGTTCCTCCGAGCTCCAAAAGCCGAGGCGGGGAGCCTTCGGGGTTTAGGGTTTAGGGTTTAGGGTTTAGAGGGTTTAGGGGGTTTAGGGTTTCGAGTTTCGAGTTTAGGGTTTAGGGTTTAGGTTTTAGGGTTTAGGGTTTAGGGTTAGAGTTTTAGGCTTGGGGTTTAGGGCTTCAAGGCTTGCCAGGTTTAGGGGTTCAGGGTTTAGGGTTTCGTGGGCCCCGGCGGGTCCCAAACGAAACAAGGGACTCTGAACCCTAAACCCTGGGCCTACACTTATATACAGCTTTAGGAGTCACGGTTCATTAGCACCTGAGTAGTCTTGTGCCAAGAAGACCTCCAAGCTATGAGACCAAGTTGCACGGCCAAACCCTAAACCCTAAACCCTAAACCCTAAACCCTAAACCCTAAACCCTAAACCCTGAACCCTAAACCCTAAACCCTAAACCCTAAACCCTAAACCCTAAACCCTAAACCCTAAACCCTAAACCCTAAACCCTATAAACCCTAAACCCAACAACCTAGATAAGGGCTTTAGGGCTTTACTCGGCCTCCTTACCTTGCAGGTCGGGGTCGGGGTTTGTTTTAGGCCTTCGTCTTTAAACTCTAAGCCCTAAAAAAAACCACAATAAGTCCTAAACCCTAAACCCTGTGCCCTAAACCCCTCTTGAAGCACAGTCTGCCTGAGGGAAGGCTCATGCCTTTGAGTCGGTTATCCTTTGGAACATCGATGCCCCCATTGGAGGATTTGAGGTTTCCGGTGAGGGCTTTCGGACGTAGAGGTTTAGGGTTTAGAGTTTGGGGTTTGGGGTTTAGGGTTCCGGGTTCAGGGTTTAGCGTTTACTTGGGCATGGGCTTACCAGGATGCCCAATAGTACCTTTCTCTTTGTTTTCCGAGAGAACTGGCCCCCCCAGGCTGGACAAGACATTGATTGGCTTCTCGTCAAGCAAACAAAGGCCGGAAGTGTGCGCATTGCTTTGGGCTCTAGGCCCCAAACCCCTAAGTATAAGTAGGAGTTTCGAGGTTTGCGGGCTTAGGCCCCTGAGCCCCTGAACGCTTGAATGCCGTTGTGGCATGTCACCGAATCAACCGCCGACCATGTGTGGCTGTATACACATATAGGTAATATGTATACATGTAACCTTGTGTATTGCTTTCGGCTGCCAATACGCACGAAGCTCCTCTTCCACCCTACGCCCTACTGCAACACCCTAAACACCAAATGAAGTGGCATATACATCTTATATATATATATATATTATCTATATATATATATATACACATACACATAAACATACATATACATATACTTATACTTATACATACACATACACATATACTTATACATACGCATATACATATAAATATTCCTATACATATACATATACACATACACATAGATATACATACACATACACATACACATACACATACACATACACATACACATACAGACATACAGACATACATACATACATACATAGGTGTGTATATATATATACATATATATATATATATTTATTTATTTATTTATTTACTTATCCCATTTCTGCTCGCCTACGCGTGCGAGGCCAACCTCACCACAGGCCAGAGGGGGGAGGAACGCAATGATGCCCTGAATGGGGGGGGGGGGGGGGTAGGCTTTTAGGTTTTTTCAGGGTTTAGAGTTCAGGGTTTAGGCTTTAGGGCTCAGGGTTTAGGGTTTCAGTGGATTTTGGTTTTGCTAGGGCTCTCCGAACTGTCATAATGTATTCACTGCACTCATTTCATGTAACAAATCGGTGTCGCAGAGCTTCTGGTCTGGGAACTCCCACACCCAACACCATGAACCTCAAACCCTAAAACTGATCTCTTGCCTTAGGGAGTCAGGCCTTGAGGGACTTGTCTAATCTAGCGAAACCAATGTGTGTTGAGAAGGGCTTGAGGGCTTCATGCTACTGTGTTTATGATGACGATACTGACGGTGATGATTATGCTGGTGGTGGCGAGTACAATGACGATGAGGCATGTTTATCAGAAGGTTTCTAGGGCCAAGCTAGCATCAGTCCTGGAATTTCTAAGTCTTCATTATCTTCCTCCTATCCAAAGCTCTGTCGTACCCCTGCACTCTACACTCTAAATCCAAAGCTCTACTTTTTCACCGTTTCGAGGTGCTTGTCTGGCTGGGGGCCCAAGCCAGTGAGAGGGTCACACTTTGTGTTCGGAGTCCTGGCGCATGGGCTCGGCTTCTGCATCTTTTAGGGATGGACTTAGGGGGGGAGGGGGGGGTTAGGGGCTTTTGGGCCTGGATTTTTCGAGGGTTTAGGGTTCAGGTTTAGAGTTTAGGGTTTAGGGTTAGGGCTTAGTGTTCAGAGGACTTGCTGTTGAGGGTCGGGGATTTAGGCCGTGAATTCTGTAGATTCTCACCCAGCCGTTCCCAACGGGCCCTGACATGCTGACGTGGGTGCGCAAGCCGGGTCCGGCAATCTTCGCCACTGCAACTGACCCAACAAATATGCAGGGCGGCGGATCCAGCTTGTCTTCAGATGTGTGTATATATGTACATACATATACATATACATATATATATATATATATTGAGGGTCGGGTACCATGTACATGTATATATGTAGAGAGAGAGAGAGATAATTTGACGAGTAGGGTTTGCGGTATGTATATTAGTATATATATATATACTCATGTACATATCTCTCTCCTCTCTCTCCGTGCTCTGGGTTGAGACTATACTCTAGGCCCCGGGGCTTCAGTCTGGAGCCATGGCTCCTTTTCTTGCATCGGCTTTTTTTCACCTCTGTTCAGATAAAGTCGAGCGGAAAGAGCAGTAAGCTGTCATCCGATCTGCGCACGATAACAGTGCCATCTGGGGGGTTTAGATAAGGGCATAGTACCAACATAATTGTAATCTCAGGGTGCTGTTACGGGATGGAGAGAGTGTCCAGCTGTGACGCCCCAAAAGTGCAATACCCCAAACTATAGGGTTTTGTTTAGGGGTTTTAGGTCTAAAGGTTTTTGGTTCCAGGGTCCTGAACTTCCCCCCCAAAAAAGAGAACATACATCCCGAAGCCCCCAGATTCAAATAGTAATGAAGCTTCTTGGAAAATGAGAGGCCCTAAGCCCCCGAGGCTTAGAAAGGCTTCGCACCCCCACACCCCCGGAGCCTCGATAAGCCCAAAAGCCCGAAAGCCCGATGCTAAGCCCCTTCAACCCCTATACGAAACCCCTTAAGCTAAGGGTTTAGATTCCCCGAAACCCTAAACCCTACTCCCTAAACCCTAATCCCTAATCCTTAATCCCTAAACCCTAAACCCTAAACCCTAATTAAACCCTAAACCCTAAACCCTAAACCCTAAACCCTAAACCCTAAACCCTAAACCCTAAACCCTAAACCCTAAGCGGCCCCTCCGCGAACGAGGCCCTGGGTCTGCGCTTTGCTGGAACCGCCAACAAGTCTGCCAAGGAGCTCCTCTTGAACCAGCGCCGGCCCCAAAGGTGCAGGATGTTTAGGGTTTAGGGCTTAGGGCTTAGGGTTTGGGGTTTAGGGTTTAGGGTTTAGGGTCTTGGATTTCAAGGGCGTCTAGGGCTTTTGTCCAAGCATCAGGATTTCCAGGGGAGTGCTTTAGCAGCTACTATCCTGATGGGCAGAACGGGTTTAGTTGCAGTTTAGGCTCGTTCCTGCCTTATTGGTCGTGCCCACCGTGTGTCTTTCGATTTGTGAGTTGATTTAATTTCTTTCCGTGCCAGTTTTCTGTCTGTAAGCAGTGTTCCACATGTAAGATCGAATCATTGCATACATGAGTCAGAACGCAGTCTTGACAAACAACGTCTGCGGCGCATGAGTGCGGATGTGAATTCAACCAGGTGGACTGCATGCTGTTGAACCCTGATGGTGCAGTTTTGGACTAAAGGAAGCTTGCCAAGGAGTGCTGTAGCACACAACCGACTTCGCGCAAGCCACAATGCCACGTCGTGAAGAGAAGGACTGTCGTGGTCGAGGCTGTGTATCGTCCCGGCAACCCAACTACCTCAGCATCCGCTCCAAGCCGAAGACAGACGACGGCGAAGGCGCCGTCAGGCAGTACACAGGTGATACTTGTTATGCTGAAGTCAATTATTATGCGGATGACTGCAAACTGTTGGAGAAGCATGCGGATTTGATCAACTCCCTTCGCAACTATGTGCGCGGTCACCACGCAAAAGCTACGGTCTACCGCGGAACGATGCTTCCAGCATCCGAGCATCTCTTCTACCCAAAAAAGTAAGAAGTTCCTGTGGCCTGGCTTCACATCGGCCAGTCTTGACCTAAAAACGGCCTTTGCATTCGGGAGCTGGGGAAGCCGGAACGGTGGTGGCGATGAAATTGTCTTCGAGATTCTACTTGGGGAAGGAGTTGGAATAACGCACTCTCGTGACGTCTCGCATCTGTCACCATATCCGAGCGCGAAAGAGGACTTGATCTATTGAAACTCAGGCTTTGAGGTCCTGGATCGGCAGGACAAGCAGAACATGATCTTCATCACAGTCAGGCCCTTTGACGCTATGTTGGTCGAAGGACGAAGCGTTTTCAGCTACTGTTTTTTGATTTTTGGTTTTTTGGCTTTTGGCCTTTGCATACTTGATCATCACCAGCACAGATTTGCTGCTTCAAGGCAAGTGATCTGAGCACTGACCGGATATTCGTCTCAGCATCAAGCATCTAAAAAGGTATCTGCTGGAGTCTGGGTTTATGGACCGGGAAGGTCCTTCTTTAAATGCAGTCCGATTTCCCGATGCTAAATTCGTACCGGGGGACTGCTCGAAATTTCGGCCTCAACAGAATAGGGTTTAGGGCCTTAGGGTTCAGGGCTAAGGAAGGAGAAGACTGTAACCCGTACGAAGGCCTAGTGGACAACCGCTTTGTGTAGACAGAGCCTGCAAACCATGCCAAAACCCAAAACCCAAACCCCTCAACCCAAAACATGCCAAACCACAGAACACTAAGAGACCTTGTTTCTGTAGATCGCTGCTACGCAACCCTAATGCTTCATGTTGGCTTTTGAAAAACTTTGTTTTCGGGTTTAGGGTTTAGGGCTTCGGGTGTATAGGGTTAGAGGGTGTAAAACAAAACCGTTTGTTATTATGATTCTAAGCCGGGGGGCTTAGGGTTTTAGGGTTTTGGGGTTTTGGGTTTGGGGTTGTAGACTGTTTTGGGTTTAGGGTTTTAGGGTTTAGGGTTTAGGGTTTAGGGTTTAGGGTTTAGGGTTTAGGGTTTAGGGTTTAGGGGTATAGACTTGAAGCCCAGGCTTCTCGAGTTCCGAGACGCGCGCCGCTCGGAGGTCGCCACTGCTCTCATGGCCTCGCAGCCGACGAAAGGCGGGTCCAGGGTCTAGGGTTTAGGGTTTAGGGTTTAGGGTTTAGGGTTTAGGGTTTAGGGTTAAAGTTTCCAGGGTTCAGTGTTCAGCGTTTATAGGGTTTAGGGTTTAGGTTTAGAGGGCGGTTCGGGTGTAGGGGGTGAGCTTTACCCTGGGAAAGGCTTCCCAAAGTTAGTTCGAGGGCATACTTGTTGAATTGCAATTGTAACCCTAAATTTGAATCCTGAACCCTAAACCCTACACTTTACACCCTAAACCTTAAACCCTAAACCCTAAAGCGGCTGTGATAGGAGAGAAGAACCTAAACTTGGTTCTTTGACCCAGGAGACCTCAAACCCAAGCATCCTAAACCCTTAGCCCTACAAACCTAAGCCCTCAAACCCTAAGCCCCTAGGGTTTAGGTTTAGGGTTTAGGGTTTAGGGTTTAGGGTTTAGGGTTTAGGGTTTAGGGTTTAGGGCTAACCCTAACGCGGCAGATATGGACCTGGATGCCTCTACGCTGTCGAGCTGTCTCGCGAGCGTGGCGCTGTCATTGGCCATGGTGATGGCCGGTACAGGACGTCGATTTTGGGGCACGGCTTAGGGATTTGAGGGTTCAGGGTCGTCGATTTTCGGGCACGGGTTAGGGGTTTGAGGGTTTAGGGTCCCCAAACCCAACGAAACCCTAACTATAGTGATCCCCTGCCCCTTCCCCCCACAAAAACACTAAAGCCTAAAACCCTGCAACTCCAAACCCTACAACCCAAAAACCCTACACCCTGAACCCCGCCTAAACCCCCAAACCCTAAACCCGAAACCCTAAACCCTAAACCCTAAACCCCATACTTCCGAGAGCCGCAAAAAAGGAGATCTGGACTCCCTGCGGATGCTGCGCAGCCTCCGGAAGAAGGGCTCCCTGGAGTCAGGCTCGGGCCTTATTGGGTTTGGGGTTCAAGGTTTAGGGTTTAGGGTTTGGGGTTTGGGGTTTGGGGTTTAGGGTTTAGGGTTTAGGGTTGAGGGTTGAGGGTTAGGGTTTAGGGTTTAGGATTTAGTGTTTAGGGTTTCGGGTTTGGGGTTCAGGGTATAGGCTTTAGGCTTGGCTTTAGGGTTTAGGGTTCCCCTGTATTTTTTGGGGGGAGGCTTGGGTTTTCTTTTCAGGTGCTAAGCCTAGGCTTAGTTGTCCATACGAACTTGGAACCCTCGGTTTCAGCTTCCAAAACGGGTACAGTACCTTTTGTTCGATTCCCAGGCATTTCATTATTATTATTATTATTATTATTATTATTATTATTATTATTATTATATATTTATATTTGTATTTATATTTATATTTATATTTATTTGTTTTTTTTTTGGGGGGGGGGTTAGGAGATCCCTAAGCCTTCGGGGGACTAAGCCCTAAGCCGGAAAGGGCGCCCCAGGCTCGGAGGTTCAGGCTTTTCCCCTAAGAGTTACCGCAATATTATATACATGGGCCCCAAGGTCACTAGATAGGAAGTACTTTTAGGGTTTAGGGTTTAGGGTTTAGGGTTTAGGGTTTAGGGTTTAGGGTTTAGGGATAGTATCCCCTAGTTAGGTACATGGAGCCGAGGGGTGCGGCGTGGATTTGGGTCTGAGCATAGCCCTCCAATAGAGGGGTGGGGATGGGGGGGGTTGATATATTAGGGGGTTTTAATAAACAGGGGAAGAGAATTAGAGGAAGCTACCACACTGTCGGGCTTGGCAGCTTCGCCCTGCAAGCATCTTCCGGGAGAGGCTGCCGCACCATGCGGCTTCAATCGGTGAATGTCTCCGACACGTTAGCCTCTTACGCCCTACGGGGTTCAAGACCCTGCGCTGGCCGCAAAGGTTCTCCTTCGTCGGGCCTGGGGCCCTGACGGCCTTCACTCGCACTACCGGGACTAGCCGACTAACCCCCTATAGCTGGTCCGGATGATGTGGTTCCAAGGGTTTGCATGGGTTTTCGAACCTCGGCCTTTTAGGGTTCGCGCCGAAGTCCTCCGGCTCCTTCGGCGGATTGACATGGCATCCCGGATGATGCGTGGCAACTTGCTCTAAGGTCCCGATCCTTTGACCAAGAACCCCTTTCCACCCTAAGCCCCAAGAGTCCCTGAACTCGTTTGTTCTCAGCAGGGACTGAGGTTACCTCGTATACCTCGAGTCATCCCTTGAGGTTCATGTAGGGCACCTAAGTCACCTAAGTCCTGAAGCCTCCCATGCGGAGCCAGTAAGAAAGCCCGAAGTTCCCGCAAAGCCGGGTTTAGGGTTTAGGGTTTAGGGTTTAGGGTTTAGGGTCTGAGGCTACGGTGTGCACATGGCCACCCACATGGCCATCGGCTGGCTTTGCTTGGGTGGCGGGCGCTACACCTTCGACCAGGTGCTTCGCAGGGGGGGGGGGGGGGGTTAGGGTTTAGGGTTTAGGGTTCAGGGTGTAGGGTTTGGAGTTGAGGGTGGGGACGTACGGGCCCTTCTCGTTGGGCAGTTAGGACAACGAGGGAATTAGGGCTTTATGAGGTTGTGTGGTGAGTTTAGGGGAGGTCTTTAGGGTGTGGTAGGGACTTAACCGAGGTGCTGAGCAGCTAGCCTTCAGCGCTACAAGTAAAACCCGAAGGCGAGGCTCCTTTCTTCTATGCTACACAGACAAGGTTGGCATTTGGATACTTTCTGCTTTCCTTTTGTGTGTGTGTGTGTGTGTGTGTGTGTTTTTGTGTTTGTGTTTGTTTTTGTGTTTGTTGATAGTGGGTTCTATATACAAATGTTTTCCGTTTTAAACCCCAAAACCTTAAACCGGCTTAGGGTTTCGGGTTTCGGGTTTAGGTTTTAAAGGTCTAACGCTAAAAATCGACTGAACCCTCAACCTTTCAACCCCATTAAAGCCCTGCACCCCAAACCATAAAAGTTTTAGAAGCCGCAGAGCCCCTGACCCTAAACCCTGAAAAACCTGAACCCGAAACCCCAACGCCTTGAAATGATGAAAGAAGTACATGGCTTTTTGAAAGGATGATATTGGTAATAATCATAAGAGGAAGATCAGTCATGGACTGGTTGGCTTGGGAATAGCCTACAAGGAATGGGTTCAAGGGTTGAAGGTCGGGGTTTCATAGGGCTTCTAGGGTTTTAGACCCTGACGAATCCCTAAACCCTGTAAACCCTCTAAATGCAATAAGCCCTATAAACCCCCTATAATAAACCCTGTAAACCCTATAAGCCCTATAAACCCTATAAACCCTATAAACCCTCTAAACCCTAAACCCTGCTTGGTTAAGGGTTTGGCGGAGGGTGGAGCCAGGAGCCCCTTTGCATTGCAGCCCTTCTCATGGCGGCGGCCTTAGCTCGTTTAGGTTTAGGGTTAGGGTTTAGGGTTTAGGGTTTAGAGTTTAGGGTTTAGGGTTTGGGGTTTAGGGTTTAGGGTTTAGGGCTACTTCAGGGCAGAGGGTTTAGGGTTGAGGCCTCCTTGCGGTCTGGTGTTTAGGTTTAGGGTTTCGGCTTCTTTGTGCCCACATGCATGCCTAAACCCAGGGTAGCACAAGACCTCCAAGCCTCTACGCCCCAGCCCAAGAAAATTTGAAGGCTAAACCCTAAACCCTAAACCCTAAACCCTAAACCCTAAACCCTACACCCTACACCCTACACCCTAAACCCTAAACCCTAAACTCTAAACCCAGTCCAAGGCCGCCTATCCAAGAATGCCATCTTCGGTCACTGACAACCGCTGCCACCTTCAGGACGATGGGTTTGGGGTTGTAGGGTTTCGGGTGTAGGGATGTAGCGCTTAGGGTTGAGGGGTGTGGATTCCATGGCTTCAAGGTGTTTGGAGCTTAGAGCAGTTGAGGTTTCTTGCCCAGTTTGGGGTTTGGGGTTTGGGGTTTAGAGTATAGGGTTTGGGGGGAATCCCGTGAAAGGCCTGGTAGTTTGGCAGATAGCTTGAACCC